CCTCCAGCATGACAGTGAGAATCAAACTCAAAAAAAAAAAAAAAAAAAAAAAAAAAAAAAATTTATATATATATATATATATATATATATATATAGTGGAAGGGAGAGGTACCAGTCAAGAGTGTCTGACAGGAGTCATCTCCCTTTTGAAACAGTCCCTCAACTCAAGTACTCCTACCACTCCTCCCCCATACTCCCTTCTCATGGGTCTGCCCTAGAGCAATCAAGAAATAACGAATGATAGGCAAAACAGCATCTTACCAATAAAGACTCCTTCTGGTTAATACAAAAGTCCTTTAAAGGGTTCGACTGTATAATACAGTTACCTCTCTAAACTTAGCTAAGATTACTTTTAGTCTGAGGGTAGAGAAGGAGAATCTTGGCTTAGCTACTCTAAGCTAATGTCAACCTTTTGGGCCTCAGCTTCCTCCTCAATCAATCTAAAAGTAGTATCTCAGATGGCTATACCCAACCATTGTTTTGAAGAGCAAAAAGAGGTAAAAGAAATGAAACTGGCTTGAAAACTCTCAAGATGACCTGGAGTAATTCCTCCCCTGTCCCAGTTAACCCTTCCAAACAGGCAAATATATTTCATGACAGAAATTCAAATAAGAGATTTCATAACAGCAAATAAAATATTTTATATCACACTGTCAATGGGAAGAGGACTCATTAGGGAAAAAGTGGGAAGGAAAAACTGTCAAAAACAAGGCACTAGCCGGGCTCGGTGGCTCAGCCTGTAATCCCGCGCCTTTGGGAGGCTGAGGTGAGTGGATTGCCTGAGCCCGCGGGTTCGAGACCCGCCTGGGCAGCGAGACCTCATCTCTACAATAAATCAAAAAATCAGCTGGGCGTGGTAGCGCATGCCTGTAATTCCGGCTACTCGGAAGGCTGAGGCGGAAGGATCGCTGGAGCCCAGCAGGTCGAGGCTGCGGTGGCCGGGAGCGGCCACTGCACTCCAGTCTGGGCGACAGAGTGAGACTCCAACTCAAAAAAAAAACAAAAAACAAAAAAAAACAAAAAAAAACAAGGCACTACTTGATAATACTAGGTGTGTTCAAGAACATCCAAGGGCAACACTAAGACATTTCTAAAGTTAAGTCCACTTGGCAAGGCAGGGACCTATAATGTTTATATTCTCAATTCAACTGTTATGTTTCTATATTCTCAATGAAAAATGGAAAGTAGGAACTAAAATAGTAAGTGTAGTAAGTGAAAAACAGAACAGATTTGAGAAAAATAAATACCGTTGCTCCTTAGAAAATCTTCAGGGAGGTCCTCACATAAAAGTTCTTTGATGGACTGCATTGGGAGATCCTCCTACAATAAGAAAATCCATTAGTCAAGGAGGATTCAGATATACCTGAGCTTGTGAATATCAGTTATTCTTTAAAACCTCTTTATGACTCCAGGAAATTGGCTAGCAGTCACAAGGATTGGGAACCAAAGAAAACCTCAAACTTAAGTAAGTATAACCAATAAAATATTCGATTTCTCTAGAATTTGAGCTTAAAAGGGCAAGTTTCTCAAGGCCTGGACAATAAGAGTAGTTTAAAATGTCAACCTACAAATCCAGACAAAATCCTATAAATGCCTTCTGGATCAAGAAACAAATGGCTGCAATGCAATTTCAATTTCATTTGAAAGGACAATATCAAGAAATCAGATGTATCTCAGTCCCTAATCATTCTAGATATCATAAATTCATCCCCTCCCCCAACCATACTTCTTAGAGGATTTTTCATGCCCTTCATTAGACAAGGGGAAAAAGGAGAATACCATCAATGACAACCAATCCCATTCTACAGAAGACATTCAGAAAAATGGGAAAGGGTGGTGGCAGAAGAGGTATATCATGGCAACTGACTTGGAACCCCAGGAGGTAGTGTTCTATCAGGCTTACTAGCTGGGATACTGACTACCAAGATGGCTGCTTATACTAAACTTTCTTTCTGGGTCACCTCTTTTCCCATGTCCTAAGGTTTAACGTTTTCTTTCACATTGATTTAATTGGTAGGTACAAGGTTCTGAAACTGCATGTATCTAAAGCTGCAGATCAATGAAATCACTGCTATAATCTTATAAAATTTTTTCCTTAATTCTTAGAAGCATTTAAAAACAGGCAAACAAAAAGCAAAAGCCATTTGGGCTATAAGGCAAAGTTCTATGGTAGAAACAGACCCCAGGGTCAGGGGAGGGGGGAAGAAAATGAAGATATTAGCAATTGTGAATACAGATGGACACAGGTAGACATAAAACATCATCATTCGAACTGATAGATGAGAACTAGAATGCACTCTCCTATATGAAGCAGGACTCTTTCACTTCCTATTGAAACTTTAGTGTGTAATACTTTTACAGACCATGAGTTTAAAAACAAGCATCTTCTAGATAACTCATGTGTAACACTACCATATTTTGAAGGAAAAAAAAAGGTTCAAAGGCAGACCAAATTTATTTGTAAATAGAAGAGGAAGCTCTTATTGTAGATGGAATAACAGAATTAGAACATCACCATTCGGCAAACCATCACAGTAATATTTAGTCAAGCAAAAATCGTCAACAGATGTTAAAACTAGTGACTAAACATTTAAATAAAAAATAGAAATATTTACATAGTCTTAAAGTAGCTCCCTAGAATATACTAATTAATTACAAAGGGGAAAATAGTAACTTTACAGGGGAGAAAATGGACAGAACCCACCCAAACCAAGGGATAAAACATTTTCTTCTCCTAGAATAACATCCCAAAATCACGTGACTCCTGGAGGCACACACTGAAAAGACCAACATCACTTCTGTGTTATTCCTGCTCCCAAAATGCATAACCAGAATCTAATTATGGGGAAACATCAGACAAATCCAAATTGAGGAAAACTCTACAAAATAAACTGTTATCTTCAAAAGTATCAAGGTCATGGACTAAGAAACTGTTCCAGATTAAAGGAGACTAAAGAGGCATGATAAATGAATGCCACAAGTAGTCCTGCATTTACCCTGGTTTCTTTTGCTACAAAAAACAGCAGTGGGATAACTGGCCAAATTTGGGTATAGCCTGTAGATTAGATAATAGTACTTCAATCTGTATTAATTTCCTGATTCTGATTAATGTACTATGGCTATGTAACAGAATATCCTTGTTTGCTAGGAAATACATATTGAAGTATTTAGGCATAATGACTACAACTATATTCTCAAATTATTGAGAAAAAAAGCAAATGTGGTAAAAATGTTAACATTTGAAGAATCTGCATGAGGGGTTGATGGGACTTCTCTGTATTAATTTTAAAAGTTTTCTGTAAGTCTCAAATTATTTCAAAATAAAAGGTTGAGAAGGCATATATATATATAAAGTTTTTGAGTTGGAGTGCAGTGGCACGCTCACAGCCATCCCAGTGTCAACCTGCTGGGTTCCGGAAATGCTTCCACCTCAGCCTTCCGAATAGTCGGAACTACAGGTGCATGCTACCACACCCAGCTAACTTCTTTTTTTTTAATTTATTGTAGAGACGAGGTCTCGTCGTGTTGTCCAGGCTGGTCTTGAACCTGCGGGCTCAGGCAATCCTCTTGCCTTAGCCTCCCAAAGATTCAGGCTTGAGCCACAGTGCCTGGTCAAGAAAGTATATTTATCTGTAGCTATATTTGATCCTTTCTCCAAAATGATAACTACTCTCTGCTTTTCCAGGCCTCAGGCTGAATGTCTGAGGTGTCAAAATAGATACTATGTAAATATTCTTTCAGGTTAATACTCTGTGGAAAAGGCAGAGTGCTAGATAAAAGATTACAGGAGGAGTCAGACAGAACTCTGTTCTAACCCCAGAACTCGAATCTGCTAACTACATGGTGCTGAGAACAACCTTACAGGCGGTTGAAAGAATAAATGGGGAGGGGGGGAGTAGAGGGAGAGAATAAATGGAAACCACATAAAGCACCTAGCAAGACACCCTGTCAGGATAGGGTGCTCCATGAGCAGAAGCTTTCACCCTTCATGAGCTTGTAGAAACCTGTGATCCCTTTCTGTGAGAAAAGTCAATATGACTGTCACCAACAGATTCCAGTATGCTGTGTGGAATGACTACCATACGCTTTTCTGGGGCTGTAAGAGCCTCTGTAAAGTGAAAGCAGAGCACAACTCAGCACAGGTTTTTGGTGAGCTCATGCAATTAACCCCTACTGGCTCTGGCTCCCTGGAGAGGTTGCTGGGATTTAGTTCTGCCCTACCTGTTGCTCTTAAGAGGTGTCCCTAACTGGAGGTCCCAAAATACCCTTGTGCAGTGCCAAGCCCACTGCTTCAGTCATATATTTTTTTGGTTAGCCACAATTCCTAACAGGGGAGGGGAGAAAAAGAAGCTAGGAGTGAGTCATCCACTCTTCCTGCTTTGCTGATTTCTCTTCAAAGGTTCTGAGTTAAGAAAAACAAGTTATCCCTCATAGTATGGCTGGAGACTCACAAGGTTTGAGGTCTCAAATATAATCAGACACTGAATTAACTGAAAAGGGAAAAGTGTAAGGTTGAAGACAGATGTGAGGGACTCCCCCACCCCCAACATGGTGGTGGGCAACTTCCAGATCAGGTGGGGGTTCTGAGTGTGGACGAGCGGAACAGAACAATCTATTTGCATACAATGGACATGTAGCATGATAATCCTTTGTAACTGCCCCCACCTCCTCAAAATCAGCCAATCATATAATAAACACTTGTAGAAATTTATCAGACACAATTTCCTTTTCCTACACCACGTTATCAGCTGAATATTCTAACTTTCAAGATTCCCAGAGGCAAGAGTCCTAAACACTTTATTTAGTTAAATCTCAACACATGTTCATCAGTCTCCTGCAGAATCTGCCTTGAATGAATCAACATTCAAAAGTTCATAGAAAACCCCTTTCAATATCAAATGAGATAATTGCTATAGTTTATAGCATTCCATAAACTATATAACATAAGAAATGCCATATAATAGTGCAATTTGTTTTTCAAGTCAACAGCAAATTCTCTGCCTTGAGTATCCAACATGTCACCCATCTGCTGACTGTTTTGGAATCAAAACCAATTTATGATACTTCTCTAAATTGTTGGCAGATTTTAGGAGGCCCTTGAAAGTTTTTCTTAGTATTATTCATCTGTGGTCTTATTTCCTATTAAAAATTGCCTGTATGTTCTGAAAACAATGCAATTCTCTGTTACATTCCTTTGGGACTAAGTTAGAGCAGGAAAAAACACAAATACTTGGAGGGAAATGGATATACATATGAGCTCTTCAGTTTTTATAGGCAAGGTAGTTGTAAGATCCTTAGGGCCTGATGTACCTCTGAGCCCTGAGCGCTGCTTGCAACCAGACCAATCTGAGCTGTTCCAATCTGAGCTTCCAGAGCTGGAGGTAGAGAAAGGGCAGTGATGACCCCATTTACAGATAGGACTACCTATACACTGAATTATATAATTACAGAGTCAAAATGTGGAAAACTGAGATACTTCTGACTTTCCAACACTTGTGGAAATGGCCACGATTACTTTTGTAGATAAGAACACTCTGTACGGCTGGCCAGGCTCGGTGGCTCAGCCTGTAATCCAGCGCTTTGAGAGTTCGAGGTGAGTGAATTGCCTGAGCCTGCAGGTTCGAGACCTGCCTGGGCAACTTGGCGAGCCCTCGTCTCTACAATAAATCAAAAAATTAGCCAGGTGTGGTAGCGCGCGCCTGTAGTTCCAGCTACTCGGAAGACAGGCGGAAGGATCACCGGAGCCCAGCAGATCAAGGCTGCGGTGGCCGGGAGCGTGCCACTGCACTCCAGTCTGGGCGACAGAGTGAGACTCCAACTCAAAAAAAAAAAAAGAAAAAAAGGAATCTTCTACCACATATCCCAATTCAAAGAATTAAGTGGTGACTCTTAATAAGGCACTAAGCATGTTAACTGGTAAAGAATATAATATTTCCCCACAATGAATTATCTAAGACAACTGCCGAAATAATGAAGAGAAAGTTTTAAGTCTTAGCAATGTGCTTTGAGTACTTCCCTGTCACACACTTTTTTTTCCCTTGAGTGGGAGTCTCACTCTGTCACCCAGACTGGAGTGCAGTGGCAGGCTCACAGCCACCATAGCCTCGACTTGCTGGGCTCAGGTGATCCTTCCACCTCAGCCTTCCAAGTAGCTGGAACTATAGGCGCATGCCACCACGCCCAGCTAATTTTTTGATTTATTATGGAGACGAGGTCTCACTGTGTTACCCAGGCTGGTCTCGAACGCATAGGCTCTGGCAATCCTCTTGCACTGGCCTCCCAAAGTGCTGGGATTACAGGTGTGAGCCACAGTGCCTGGC